CAATGTGCGGAACTTCCTGTCCACGGGGGGTTAGGGCTGAGCACAGCGGTGCAGTGGTGATGCGGCACGCCTGCGCCGAAGTGCAGTGCCAATGTGGACAGCAGGGGATGGATGACTTCAGTCATCCGAAGCTGCTGCCAAATGGGAGGGGCTGCCCCAGGTAGCGGCACAGTCGACCCCTCAAGTCTGCATGGGCAGAGGCCTCCTCTGTTGGAGGCAAGGCCTTGGCCCTCGGCGGCAGGCGGCCGCGGGGGGGGAAGGCAGGGCAAGGTCCACGGATCAGCGTGGGCTGTCTATGTGCGCAGCGCAAAAGTATTGGTACCTCCCCGCCCCAGCGGAGGTGGCACATGGCATTGAGGCCGAGGCCAGGCGCTGAAGGTCCACGAGTCCAGCGTGGGCTGTCTACGTGCGCAGCGGGAGGGCATTGGTGCCCCTCCGCCACGTCGGAGGTAACACAGGGCATTGCGGCCGGAGCCAAGCGCTGCAGGTGAAACTAGCTGGGGGGGGCGAGGCGACTGCCAGGCGGGGTGGGGCAAGTAGGCAGGAGGTGGTGCCCACCAGTCGGCTTTGGGAACTGCGTGGGCTTCGTGCGCTCCTGTGAGGGGGAATCAGTCACGCCCGTGGGTTCTTGCGCTAGGTGGAGTGGGTGGGTCATCCTTGCACAGGTCTCACGGTGCATCCCTGTCGCCTGGATCAGGAGTCCCAACATCGCTGGCGCTTATCGGCGCACGGGTGATCTTCTCTCGGGGAATCGCGCTTGCCCTTCGCCTTCCAGTCAGTGTCGGTCCATGAGGACCCCTCGTGCCCCCAAGTGTCCCATGACTGCCATCCGCGCCACGACGAGGCAGAGCTTGATGCACCAGTCCACTGGTCTGGACGGGGCGTACGTGCCGCCTCCTTGCCTGCTGCGGACCAAGGGGGTGGGCGGCCGCGGCTGTCGTACCCTCGACTGGTGGGGATATTTTTTTGATTGGCGGCTCCAAAGACAGATCCAGGAAGCGGGACGGACTCGGCTGGGGCATAGGGCGAAATAATTAGCTACAGAGGCGCATAGGCCACGGCAGCAGGTGCACGTGCCAGGGACAACATGACCCTCATTAAGACGTTGGCGACCCGAAGTCGGAACGCAAGCCCGAACTGGGGACGGAAGGAGCTGTCGCACAAGTGGCGCCAGGCTCTGACCGTACCGAACAGCGCTTAGGGCCGGGGCACGCTGCGCTGAAGCGGCACAGAGTGGCCGGGGTGGCCGCACAATCCATGAAACGAAGAGGAGGCCAAGATGAGGAGAAAGGAACGGGAAAGGCACGGCGGGCAAGGGGGCACGCGGTGACAGGAGAGGGGGGAACAGAAGGAGGCCTCACAAAATGGTGGGGATATTTTTTTTGTTCTGCGGCCCGCAAGGAAAAGTCCAGAGGGCGTATCAATCAGGCAAACTGGGGCACAGTGCCAGATAATTACTGGTGGGGATACGCGAAGCGTCAAGAATTGCGTTCTGGAGCGATTCTGGATTATCAGGGCATAACAATTACGTACGTGCGTTCGCGGAGTTGACGTCCCGGGAATGGCGTTTTGGTACGATTCATGATAGACGTCACAGTCAGGTTGACTCGTAGCGATGAAGTCCTGAGAATGGTGTTTTGGCACTTTTCACGATTTTCAAACGGTTGTCCCCCAATGGGGCACTCCACTCGGTGGAACTGAACTCTTATAGGGGCCTACGAAGAAGGAGCTTGAAGGGGGGGGGTCGTTGATGAGTCTTGGGTTTACACTGGTCAACCGCCTCCCCCTCGTCCTGTTCCTCCTGCCGTTGCTCCGCGCGTGTTCCTGATAAATGGGACCTCCCCCCTGTCGCACCAGCAAACGTGTCGGTAGTGCGGGCCGGGCGTTTCGCCTGAGATTTCCTCAACATGTATGGTTACGAAGCTTGAAATTTGCAAGACGGCCACTGGGGGCCACAAGAAGCCAACAAGACAGCGGCCCCAGCACACACCCAGAGGCACCCCCCAAACAAAGGGCACGACGGCCCAAAACCGCCCCAAGAGGGCTCCAAGACCGCCTGAGCACCCGACCAGACGGCCTCAAGGCGATTCGACCTAGCCTCATATGACAAGGAGTGGAGGGGGAGGATGGGAGGAGGGCGAGGAAGGAGGAGGAGGAGGAGGCGGAGGCGGAGGAGGAGGAGGAGGAGGAGGAGGGGGCGGAGGAGGAGGAGGAGGGAGAGGAGGAGAAGGAGGAGGCAACGAGCCCCTGCGCCATGGCGACAGGTTTCTTATTTTTCTGCTTCTCTTATAGCCTCGTCTAGTCGCTCGCTGCGCTTCCGCGCAGGCCGCCGCCACCCTGCTTCGCGGTTTGGGGCTGCCTGGGCGCTCACAGAGCCTGGCCTCCCTTCGCTGGGGAGAGCGGCGGACCTCCCGAGTAAGAGTGCTCCGCGACTCCCCAGCTCGGCCCCGAAGGGGGCGCGAGGTTTACTGACTTGAATGTCCCAAAGATGGAGTGGCGCTGGGGTCGCTGGGAGCAGGAGGAGGAAGAGGAGGAGGAGGAGGAGGAGAAGGAAGGAGGAGAAGGAGGAGGCTGCACCGGCCTGCGCCTGCGGTGCGACCCGCGGAAGCAAAGGAGGAGGAGGAGGAGGAGGAGGGGGAGGAGAAGTTCGGTACAACCGTCGCGCCCAAAACTGACTAACAAAACATAGGCTACGAACAGGCCGTCCAGAGGCCCCCAAAAGGCCCCCTGGGGTGGCCTAAATTTCCTGAATGCAGTGCTGCGCGGGCCCAGTGGCAGGGTTGCCGCGGGCAACTGGATAGTTAGCCGGTTGTCTAGTTATCTTTCCCTTTCACCTCCCCCTCCTCCTCCTCCTCCTCCTCCTCATCCTCCTCCTCCTCCTCCTCATCCTCATCCTCCTCCTCCTCCTGTTCCTGTCGCAACCTCGTCATCGTCAATCGTATTCTTGCTCCTCCTCCTCCTCCTTCTCCTGCTCCCTCTCCTACTCATCCTCTCCTGCATTATCATCTTTACTACTTCTCTGTCATCCTTGCCCCCTCACCCCTCGTCCGATATTTTCTTTCCCCTCCTCCTCCTCCTCATCGTCTTCCTACCAAATGGATATGATACGGAGGTAAGCGCTCCTGCACGGTCTGCCTGCGTAGGCACGGACGCGACGATTCGCAGCCTTCATCCATGGGGGGCCGCGGTTCCAATCGGATCATGAGCGATCTTGCCCGCGACCCTCGCGAACACGCTTTAATGCTCACCGAATATCGAATATCATGAGTCCTTGCCATTAGTGTGCGCCCGTTCTGGATGCGTGATAAAAAGCGTCCACATGGCTGACCTGGCCAAGCGTCGTAAGAGTGAGCACCCAGAATATCTGGAGTTGGACCCAGAAATTCCAACACCTGAACCCAGCCACAGGCAACGCAAAGGCGCTCTATGAGCCAGTTTCGCTTCGCCAGGTTCCTCGACAGCGACCCCCTAAAGGTCTATTCGAGTCCAACCTGGCTTGCTGTAAAACTCGCTCTTGGGATGGCTTCTGATTCGGATGGGGGTGGGCAGGATATGGTCGGGGACAGTGTGCGATACAGAACGTTAGCGCTACTATCTCTTCGGCGCCTTCCAGGCCATGGCCCACTCTGTGGGCTGTAGTTCGAATTACGCTCCTCCTCCAACAAGGCTGGAATCACGAGCACTGAATACAACGCGAATCCGAATACACCTCTTCCTCATTCACCGTCCTGATTGTTCCCTCATATGCCATCAACATCCTCATCCGCATCCGCATCCTCATCCTCACCCCCACCCTCATCCTCATCATCATCCTCATCAGACTCCTCATCATCATCAGCAGCAGCACCAGCCTCATCATAATCACCCTCATCAGCATCATCACCACCACCACCACCACCACCACCACCACCACCACCACCACCACCACCACCACCATCATCATCATCATCATCATCATCATCATCATCATCATCATCATCATCATCATCATCATCATCATCATCATCATCATCATCATCATCATCATCATCATCATCATCATCATCATCATCATCATCATCATCATCATCATCATCATCATCATCATCATCATCATCATCATCATCATCATCATCATCATCATCATCATCATCATCATCATCGTCATCGTCATCGTCATCATCATCATCATCATCATCATCATCATCATCATCATCATCATCATCATCATCATCATCATCATCATCATCATCATCATCATCATCATCATCATCATCATCATCATCATCATCATCATCATCCTCATCCTCATCCTCATCATTCATCATCTCATCCATCATCATCATCATCATCATCATCATCATCATCATCATCATCATCTCATCATCATCATCCTCATCATCATCATCATCATCATCATCATCATCATCATCATCATCATCATCATCAGCATCATCATCATCATCATCATCATCATCATCATCATCATCATCATCATCATCATCATCATCATCATTCATCATCATCATCATCATCATCATCATCATCATCATCATCATCATCATCATCATCATCATCATCATCATCATCATCAGCATCAGCATCAGATCAGCATCATCAGCATCATCATCATCATCATCATCATCATCATCATCATCATCATCATCATCATCCCATCAGCATCATCATCATCAACGTCCTCATCGTCATCGCCTCCACCCCCACCACCACCACCACCACCATCATCATCTGCATTAAAGTCATCACCACCACCACCACCACCATCATCATCATCATCATCATCATCATCATCATCATCATCATCATCATTACCACCATCAACATCCTCATCGTCATCGCCTCCACCCCCACCAGCCCCACCACCACCACCACCACCATCATCATCATCATCATCATCAGCATCAGCATCATCAGAAGCAGCATCATGATTACCCTCATCATCATCATCATCATCATCATCAGCAGCAGCATCATCATCGTCAAAGAGGCGGAGGATGGTCCGTGTACGCGCATAAATCTGTCTTGATGACCATGGCAGCAAAGCTGCAGCCACCGCCCGGTGCCGGAGAAAAGAAATATCCGTTCGCCCGAGGGCTTGAGCAACGTTGCTATGAGGGCAGAGCTGCGAGAGGGCAGCCACGACCACACCTCTGGGCCGTCGCCCTCTTCCTAGCCTTTCTTTCTCCTCCACCGCCTCCTTCCCCTTCTCCACCAACGCCTGGTCTTCCTCCTCTTCCCCCTTCCTCCTTCCTCCTCTTCCCCCTCCTCCTCCTCCTCCTCCTCCTCCTCCTCCTCCTCCTCCTCCTCCTCATCCTCCTCCTCCTCCTCCTCCTGCTCCACCTCCTCCTCCTCCTCCTCCGCCTCCTCCTCCTCGTCCTCCTCCTCCTCGTCCTCCTCCTCCTCACTCCTTCTCCTGATCCCGACGTCCTGGCGGCCACCAGCCTGCACGCCTGGCCCACACACTGCTCAGCATGCGCGTCGCGACCAAGCAGACGACCACGAGATTGGCCGCGTGGTTCGGGACCACGCCCCGACGCCTCCCCTTGTGCAGCCTCCTGTTGCCCCCTCCTCCACTACTGTCCTCCACGTGTTCCCCCCGGTGTTGGAGTCCAAGTCCCGAGGTCCCCAAGACCAGACCACCTAGGACACCCAACCCGACAGGTCCATCCACTACGAATGGACATCTGACGTGTCATGCGCTTACGCGTGCCAGCTAGACGGGGAACCTAAACGTTGCACGCCCAATTGGATCCGTATGAAGCGTCACCAGAATAGAGGAAGTCCGCCGGCCCTCTCGGCATGCGCGGGCGGCCCATCGAGGCTTCTCGAGAAAAGCCCTGACGGAATCCGCCCGTGGTTATACACTGCTCTGGCCAGTCCGCGCACGGGGGGAGGAGTCCGCAAGGGGTGCGCGCCCATCCCCTCCCGACTAACACGGGGCCACACACTCCTCCGCCTGACTCTCCTACATTGATCCGTCCTCCTCCCTCGTCGTCGTCGTCGCCGCCGCCCTTCCCATGCTTTTCCTTATGGTTCCTCCCCCATGAGGGTCCTACAACGACCCCGCCAATACCCCAAGGCGCAAATCAAAAACACGATAAGTTCAAAGTGCTTGAACTTGTCGGGCGTGCTTGCTTGTTTACGTGCTTGTCCCAAAAATGATCAAACATGTTCCAATATGGTACGAACGTTCTGGCGCTGACCTCGCTAGCAGAAGATGCACGCGTCCGAACGAAGCCAAGTGAAGGACTTCAGCTTTCTTGTTCAATACTCCATCGATCCAAGACGGTCCAAGAGACCCCAAACATGGCCCCAGGACGACCCAGGGAGCCCCAAACAGGGGCCAGAGCAAGCCAAACGGGCCCCTAATACGGCCCAATGCGGGCCCAAAGAGCAGCCCAAGATTGAGCACACAAAAACCTCTGCAGCAAGAGACCCCAAATTACCCTAGCGACGTACCCAACCCCTGCACAATGCGGACATAAGTAGCTTGGGAGACGTTATACGGAGGTGATGACGTGACATGGGCACATACACTTCTGCGAGTGGCATTCGTGAGGCTCGCAGCCCCCCAAGGATTGCGAGGTCCCGCTCAGATCTGCGTGGTGCCTCACTCCGCAGGAGCCACCAGCCTTCGAAAGTAGCGACGGTTTTGCAGATCGCAGCCCCCCAGGGACGGCGAGGTCCCGCTCAGATCTGCGCGGTGCCTCACTCCGCTGAACCCGCCAGCAGCCCTCGAAAGTGGCGACAGCGTCGCAGATCGCAGCCCCCCAGGGACGGCGAGGTCTCGCTCAGATCCTCTCCGCTGGACCCCCCAAGCAGCCCTCGAAAGTGGCGACAGTGTCGCAGATCGCAGCCCCCCAGGGACGGCGAGGTCTCGCTCAGATCCTCTCCGCTGGACCCCCCAAGCAGCCCTCGAAAGTGGCGACAGTGTCGCAGATCGCAGCCCCCCAGGGACGGCGAGGTCTCGCAGATGTCCACGCGGTGCCTCAGTCCGCAGGACACACCAGCATGGCGACAGCGTCGCAGATCGCAGCCCCCCAGGGACGGCGAAGTCTCGCTCAGGTCCCCGCGGTGCCTCACTCCGCAAGACCCACCAGCAGCCCTCGAAAGTGGCGAGAGTGTCGCAGATCACAGCCGCCCAGGGACGGCGAGGTCCCCCGCTCAGGTCCCCGCGGCGCTCGAAAGTGACGACGGCGTCACAGATCGCAGCCCCCAGGGACGGCGAGGTCCCGCTCAGATCCCCGCGGTGCCCCACTCCGCAGGTCCCACCAGCAGCCCTCGAAAGTGGCGACAGCGTCGCAAATCGCAGCCCCCCAGGGACGGCGAGGTCCCGCTCAGGTCCCCGCGGTGCCTCACTCCGCAGGTCCCACCAGCAGCCCTCGAAAGTGGCGACAGCGTCGCAGATCGCAGCCCCCCAGGGACGGCGAGGTCCCGCTCAGGCCCCCGCGGTGCCTCACTCCACTGGACCCACCAGCAGCCCTCGAAAGTGGCGAGAGTGTCGCAGATCACAGCCCCCCAGGGACGGCGAAATCCCGCTCAGGTACCCGCGGTGCCTCACTCCGCAGGAGCCACCAGCAGCCCTCGAAAGTGGCGACGGTGTCGCAGATCCCAGCCCCCCAGGGACGGCGAGGTCCCGCTCAGGTCCCCGCGGGGCCTCACCCCGCTGGACCCACCAGCAACCTCGAAAGTGGCGACAGTTTCGCAGATCGCAGCCCCCCAGAGATGGCGAGGTCTAATTCTTATCCGCGGTGGGTACCCTCTCTGCTGGCCTCCCCAGCAGACCTCGAAAGTGGCGACGGTGTCACAGATCGCAGCCTCCCAGGGGTGGCGAGGTCTAATTCGGATCCGCGGTGGGTACCCTCTATGCTGGCATCCCCAGCAGCCCTCGAAAATGCCGACAGCGGGAGGCGGGAGGAGAAGGACGCGACCACAGTGCTCTATTCGAAGCGAATACCCAACCACGGCGGATTGGGGAAATAAGCGTTCTGGGCCCATCGTTCGACGGGCCTCCCCATGGGGCCACGAATCGCCTGAGGGGTGCGCCCAAATGGGCGGGGAGCCGCATGCGAACTTCGCCACTGAGGCTGTCGGCGGGGCTCCCTGTCGGGCCACGAACCGCGCGAGGGGTGCGCCGAAGTGGGCGGGGAACCGCACGCGAACTTTGCCACTGAGGCCTTCGGCGGAGCTCCCTGCGGGACTACGAAACACGCGGAGGGCGCGCCGAAATGGACGGGGAACCGCGCGCGAACTTTGCCACTGAGGCCTTCGGCGGAGCTCCCTGTGGGGCCACGAACCGCGTGAGGGGCGCGACGAAGTGGTCGGGGAACCGCGCGCGAACTTTGCCACTGAAGCCTTCGGCGGAGCTCCCTGTGGGGCCACGAACCGCATGAGGGGTGCGCCGAAATGGGCGGGGACGGCACGCGCACTTTGCCATTGGGGCATTCGGCAGAGCTCCCTGTGGGGCCACGAGCCGCGTGAGGGGTGTGACGAAATGGGCGGGTAACAGAAGGCGAACTTTGCCCGCTGAGGCCTTCGGCGGAGCTCTCTGTGGGGCCACGAATCGTCTGAGGGGTGTGCCCCAATAGGCGGGGAACCGCACGCGAACTTGGCCGCTGAAGCCTTTGGCGGAGCTTCCTGCGGGGCCACGAACCGCGTGAGGGGCGCGACGAAGTGATCGGGGAACCGCGCGCGAACTTTGCCACTGAAGCCTTCGGCGGAGCTCCTTCTGGGGTCGCGAAACGCGTGAGGGGCGCGCCGACATGGGCGTGAAACCGCACGCGAACTTTGCCACTGTGGTCTTCGGCGGAGCTCCATGTGGGGCCACGAACCGTGTGAGGGGTGCGCCGAAATGGGCGGGGACGGCACGCGCACTTTGCCGCCGATGCATTCGGCGGAGCTCCCTGTGGGGCCGCGAACTGTGCGAGGGGCGCGCCGACATGTGCGGGGAACCGCACGCGAACTTTGCCACTGAAGCTTTCGGCGGAGCTCTCCATGGGGTCACAAATCGTCTGGGGCGCGCCGAAACGGGCGGGGCACCGCATGCGAACTTTGCCACTGAGGCCGTCGGCGGAACTCCCTTGTGGGGCCACGAACCATGTGAGGGGCGCGACGAAGTGGTCGGGGAACCGCGCGCGAACTTTGCCACTGGGGGCTTCGGCGGAGCTCCCTGCGGGGCCACGAACCGCATGAGGGGCGCGCCGAAATGGGCGGGGAACCGCAGGGGAACGTTGCCATTGAGGCCTTCGGCGGAGTTCCCCGTGAGGCCGCGAACCGCGTGAGCGGCGTGCCGAAATGGGCGGGGAACCGCCTGCGACCTTTGCCACTGAAGCCTTAGACGGAGCTCCCTGAGGGGCCACTAACCGCGTGAAGTTGTGCAGGAATGGGCGGGGAACGACGATGATGGTGATGATGACGGACGCGATGGGGATGACGATGGTGATTTCGATGACAGTGGCGAGTTTGATAAGAATGATGATGATGATGATGACGATGATGGTGATGCGATGATGATGATGATGATGGTGATGATGATGGTGATGATGATGATGATGTTGATGTTGATGATCGTGATGGTGATGGTGATGGTGATGAGATGATGATGCTGATGGGAGGACGATGATGAGGATGATGATGATGGGAGCAGGGAGGAAGGGGGAGAAAGGAAAGATGGATGTGGGGCGCTCTCTCTCTCCAAAACGAAGACCCAGCACATGATGGTTGGGAGTAAGAATTAGCTGCCCGCACATCTCGAAGGTCCTGAGGTCCTGAGAGAAATGAAAAGCGCTGTCTGCTGGGCTAACAGGACGAGGTCTGGCGACTCGACCATCATTACACAGCGACGACTCGCATTGGCACCACACTGTTTGAACAGATAACGCCGCGCATCGCGACCGCAGCATTCACCAGATTTGCCCCCCGAGAGTCGCGTTCAACGTCGGAGAAAGAGAAAGAAAACAGGGTCGCCCAACAGCGAGGACTACCAGTCCTTTCTCCAAACAGCCAGGCGCGCGTGAAAACACAGCGCGGCAGACACCTGCACGGTTCCGCCCATTGCCCGAGGTTTCAGAGACAAGGAGAGACTGGTCGAGGTCATGCGTAGGGTCACACAAAGG